AAAGTATTTAGAAAATATATTTATTTTTAAATTTTTACTTATTAATTTTTGAAATATTAATAAATATTTATTATTTTATTTGAAATAAGCTTGCATGAATAGAACCAAATGTTTTATGAGAAAAAAAAATGTCATACTGTTTTAAAATAGATAATTGTTTAAATGGTCATAACTATTTGAACATGTTTGGTAACAAGATTCATTTTTTAATTCTCTTTCTCATTAATTTATGGAATATTAATAAATTAGTATTATTTTATTTCAAATAAGCTTATATGAACTTAAAAAATTATTTTATTACAAAACAAAAGGTCACAATGATTTGAAATAAACAATTATTCAAATAGTCATTACTATTTGAACGTGTTCGGTAACAAGATTCCCATTTTAATTCTCTTTCTCATAAATTTTTAGAATATTAATAAATTAGTATTATTTTATTTCAAATAAGCTTATATGAACTGAAACAATTGTTTTATTATAAAACAAAAGGTCACAATGATTTGAAACAGATAATTATTCAAATAGTTCTTATTAGTTGAACTTGTTTGGAAAACATATTTATTTTTTAAATGTTCTACTTATTAATTGTCAAAATATTAATAAATTAATATTTTGTTAATCGGAATAAGCATGTATGACAGAAATAATTATTTTATGACAAAACAAAAAGTCATACCAATTTGAAAAAAATAATTTTTCAAATAGTCATAAAGATTTGAAATTGTTCAGTAAATAGAATTATTTTTAAAATTTTTTACTTATTAATTGTCTTAATATTAATAAATTTATATTATTTTATTCAAAATAAGCTTGTCTGCACAATAAAAATCATTTTATGACAAAATGAATGGTTATAGTGATTTCAAATAGATAATTGTCGAAATAGTAAAATTATTTAAACTTGTTTGGTGAATTCATTTTTTAAATCTCTTAATTATTAATTTTCATAATATTAATAACTTAGTATTATTTTATTTCAAATAAGCTTATATGAATTGAAATAATTTTTTTATGACAAAACAAAATGTTCTAATGATTTGAAATAGATAATTATTCAAATAGTCATGATTATTTGATCTAGTTCGATAAACATATTTACTTTTTAAAGTTGTTGCTTATCAATTGTCAAAATATTAATAAATTAGTATTATTTTAACCCAAATAAGCTTATATGAATAGAAACAATTGTTTTATGATAGAACAAAAAGTCATAACAATTTGAAATAAATAATTGCTCAAATAGTCAAAACTATTTGAACTTGTTTGATAAATAGATTTATTTTTCAAATCTCTTATTAATTTTTGAAATATTAATAGATTAGTATTACTTTATTCCAAACAAACTTGTACAAACAAAAACATTTGTTTTATAACAAAACAAAATGCCATAACGATTTGTAATAGATAATTGTTCAAATAATCATAATTATTTGAACTGGTTGGTAAATATAACTATTTTTAAATCTCTTACTTATTAATTTTTAAAATATTAATAAATTCATTTTATTTTATTCCAAATAAGCTAGTATGAATTCAAAAAAACTTATTTTATGACAAAACAAAATGTCATAATGATTTCAAATAGATATTTGTTCATATAGTCTTTAAATATTTGAACTAGTTCGGCAAACAAATGTATTTTGTAATTCTCTTAGTTATTAATTTTTTGAATATTTTTAGATTAGTATTATTTTATTTTGAATAAACTTGTTTGAACAAAAATAATTATTTTATAATAGAACAAAAGGTTATAACGATTTCAAGTTTACAATTTTTCAAATAATCATATATTTGAACTAGTTTACAATTTTTCGAATAATCATATATTTGAACTAGTTCATCAAACAAATTTATTTTTTAAATCTCTTATTAATTTTTGAAAGATTAATAAATTAATATTATTTTATTTCGAATAAGCTAGAATGATGAAAAACAATTGTTATATGACCAAACAAAAGGCCAAAATTTTTGGTAAACATGTAATTGTTCATATAATCTTAATTGTTTGAACTGTTTCAGCAAATAGGTTTATTTTTTAAATCTTCTTGTTATCAATTTTTGAAATAATATTAAATTAGTATTATTTTATTCCAAATAAGCTTATATGAATTGAAATAATTATTTTATAATAGAACAAAATGTTATAACAATTTGAAATAGATAATTGTTCAAATAGGAACTGGCTCAGTAAACAAAATTATTTTTTAAATATCACACTTATTAATTTTTGAAATATTAATAAATTGATATTATTTTATTTTGAATAGGCTTATATGATGAAAAATAATTGTTTTATGACAAAACAAAAGTTCGTAATAATTTGAAATAGATAATTATTCAAATGACCATAATTATTTGAACCGATTTGATAAACTGACTTATTTTTTAAATCTTTAACTTATTAGTTTTTGAAAAATTAATAAAATAATATTATTTTATTTCAAATAAATTTTTATGAACTGAGTCAATTATTTTATGATAAAACAAAATGTCATATTTATTCTAAATAAATAATTGTTCAAATAGATATGACTATTTGAACTTGTTCCATAAACAAATTTATTTTTTTAAATTTCTTATTTATTAATTTTTTGAATGTTAATAAATTAATATTATTTTATTTCGAATAAGCATGTATGAACTAAAACAATTATTTTATGACTAAACAAAAGGTAAGAACAATTTGAAATAGATAATTATTCTAATAATCTTAACTATTTGAATTGGTTCAGTAAACACATTTATTTTTTAAATCTCTTTCTTATTTTTTTAGAATATTATTAATTTAGCAATATTTTACTCTGAATAAGCTTGTATGAACAGAAGTAATTGTTTTATTACAAAACAAAGAACATATCAATTTGAGATAGATAATTGTTCAAATAATCATAAGTATTTGAACTGATTCGATAAACAGATTTAATTTTTAAATCTCTCATTAATTTTCAAGATATTAATAAATTAGTATTATTTTATTTTGAATAATTTTGTATGAATAGAAACAATCATTTTACAATAAAACAAAATGTCATAATGATTTGAAATAGATAATAATTCAAATGGATATGACAATTTGAACTTGTTCAGTAAAAATATTTATTTTTTAAATCTCCAACCTATTAATTTTTAGAATATTATTAAATTAGTATTATTTTATTTGAAATAAAATTGTATGAATATAAACAATTATTTTATGACAAAATAAAATATCAAAATGATTTGAAATAAATAATTGTTTTAAGGGTCATAACTATTTGAACTCGCTCGGTAAATAGATTTATTTTCTAAATCTTTTACTTATTAATTTTTGGAATTTTAATAAATTAGTATTATTGTATTTTGAATAAGCTTTTATGAATAGAAACAATTGGTTTATGACAAAACAAAAGGTCATAACAATTTCAAATAGAGAATTGTTCAAATAGTCATAACTATTTGACTGTGTTTAGAAAACATATTTATTTTTTAAATTTTTACTTGTTAATTTTTGGAATATTAATAAATTTATATTATTTTATTCAAAATAAGCTTGCATGAACAGAACCAATTGTTTTATGACAAAACA